GCTCAAAAGCCTGCCTGAGCCAATCGCGGACAGCAGGTGGTAGACACCCCTGCTTCAGTTCCTCTCAGGAGCAAGTCCACATGGATCCCTTAACAACGTGCATTTCTGCTGGTTTCCCTCCTCTTCTGTCTTGCTGTCCTGACCTCACCCTCCTGCTCCCTGGGATGCCTTCCCAAATGACCGAAGCACCAAATCCTTGCCTCAGGCTCTGCTTCCAGGGGCGCCCAGGCTCAGATAGGCTACAAATATCCAGCTGAAAAATCTAAACTTTGTCCTAAAGACGAAGAAAATCAGAACATTTCCAAGATGAAAACAAGAACAGCACTCTGATGAGTAAACATTCACCAAGGGCACTGGCCATTAGGTGCCATCATGGGCCTCGGGGGAGAACCACTCAGTCTGAGCTCAACCCACTGCCGAGGCTTCTGTTGGTGGGCACCCCTCCCACTCCAGGGTAATGGAGAGAAACGCAATGTCATGATTAGGCAAAGACCTCTGGCGGGCCAGTGGAAACAGTGAAGTAGGCAGAAAAAGGATCACCCTGGATGTAAAGGAAATAATGACTGCAAAAAAGAAGAAGCATGGCGGACTGGGGAAAGATCACTTCCTTCTGAAATAGCCCGTCTGTGAAGAAGGACATCCCAATCGAGCTCGAAGCCCTAGTCCAGAAAAGGTCACTGCCCTGATTTTACAGACCTCCTTGCTGCCACAGGAAAGCAAGTGGAACCCGGACAGCTTGAGGAAGGAGAGGTGGGGTAGGGTGGAGGGGCACAGAACATGGGGGAAGGGCTGGGACGGGTCCCGGGGGGCATGGCTGACGGCAGGGCAATGCCAGGCAGGAAGCAGCAGCCGACCCATCCCCGGGGACAGTCACGGTGCACTCTTTGCTGGGTGATTTGGTCTTATGCTACAATTACCCTCTTCTAGCCCTGAACCTGCAGTGAAAGGCTGCTAGACGCATTCCCCATTAACGAGCCAAGAGAGAAATGAAGGACGAGAGAGCTAGCAGGATGGGGAAGGTGGCTGGTGAGAAAAAATGAGAAAAACAGCCTGGGTCTGGAGGGTTGAAACTGCATACAGCTCTGTGTGTGTGTGCGTGTGTGTGTGTGTGTGTGTGTGTGTGTGTGTGTGTGAGAGAGAGAGAGAGAGAGAGAGAGAGAGAGAGAGAGAGAGAGAGAGAGAGAGAGAGAGAGAATCATAGAGAGCATTTTTATATGAGAGAGAGAGAGAGAGATACCTTGAGAAGATGTTTTACTCAGAGTTTGCTTCAACATACATGAACTTAAGACATAATGCATTCTTTTTCCTCATTTAATTTTGGAACAGGACATTGCATTGATCATGGATCGAAATTCAGAGAGTATGAACTGGTATCGTGGAAGAGTCTCCTTCCCACACTTACTCCTCAGAAAACTCCTGCCCCTCCCACAGGCAACCAATGGTACCAGCTCTTGCATCCTTCAATGGGTAGTTTATGATTTTGCGAGAAAAAAATCTATAAAATCAGTTTTTCCTAGTTTACACAAGTGAAACCATACTACACACACTGCGTCGCAAGTTGCATTTTCATTTAATAACTGGGTCATCTTTCCTTATCAGCCTGCACGAGTTTCCTCGTTCTTTTCTGTGGTTACATGCTGTCCCTTTACGTGGATGTACCATAATTCACCTAATCAGTCCCCAGTGGATGGGTATTTAGGTTGTTTTCTAACTTCTGCTCTTATAAATAGTAGTGAAATGAATAAACTGGTAAGATAAAATACATTCTCACATGTGCTTTATTACATCAAGGGTGCAGCTGATTTTTCTCCAGTGAAACATAAATGCAATTTAACACGACACACCAGATTTATCTAATAAAAATGTGCTGTTACAAACATTGCTGTCACATATATTTGATTCAGTCAGGTATCCTTTACAAGGTAAAATTTAGTTATTATAACTAGTAATGGCAGTGTATTTTCAAAAACAGAGCATGTAAATATTGAGTGATTTTTAGCATCAGTTGACCTAGGATGGTCAGAAGCAGTCAGGGCCATAAGAACAGAATGAGACCCATCTGCTGTACAGACTTAAGAAGTTCTGAACTTGGACTTATAAAGCCTGTGTTTGATTTCTTCCTTACTCAACCACTATGATTTTTTTCCAATAAAATGGGGATAATGATTCTTGTCCTATGTATCTTGAGAAGTTGTTCTAAGCACAAAATGGGAAATTTTGCATATGTGAAATCTGTTTATGAACTACCAATGTTAAATTCTGTTATTCTTATATTGCTTACAGTGCTATTTTTGGATAATCTATGGAATAGATTCTGAAATAAATTTCATAAAAGAAATTATACTAGGTATGGCCATTTTAATTAAATGCACCAAATGATGGCCTTTATATACCATAATGTTTTAAAAACCCATTATATAAAGAATCAGAAAGGAAACAGGTTGCTATTGGCCAACTAACTACCACAACTTTTTCTTTTGGATCCTCCCCATCTCTCCACCTCATCTATAGTTATTAAAATCAAGTTCATTGCTAAGCACCTTGACAGGAGAAAAATCTGAAAAACCATTCAAATCCGATGAGCTAGGTGATAACTTTTTGCCAATTAACACCGTTAATATTCTCAGATATACAGGTAACATGGTCTCTCTGGGTGCATTTGGTAATGACCAACAAAATACATGAGTAAACAAATTTTAAGTACTCTAGAACATGAAAAGCTGGGCCGTCTAGATTTGGGAACTCTTAGGAGACCTATCTATGTCACTTATTAAAACCTTCAGGACGTGCCATTACCGAAGCAGACAGGGACCCAGGGCACTCTCAGCCAATCCATTCAAGTTTCTGCCACCTCCTTTCTAGTCACTGCCTCCATGGCAACAGTCCACTGACCTGCCCTTAAGGGAAATAGAATTTCTGGCATGACTGAGACTTGTAATAATTCCGTTTGTCAATACAGGTCAGAGAGAAATGGATGTGTTCGTACCAACTTACTTAACAAACCACTAATAAAATGAGTGACCCCTAGCAAATGACTAGACCCAGTGTTCAGAACATCCCTCAGGAGAGCCAAACATTGCATCACTAGTGTCCAAGAAAACCGGCACCACCGTCACCTGTCCGTCAAACCCTTCACCAAGCCTGGACTTCTTCCTTCAACATTTTCTTTACCTTTTCCTAAAAAGGTAAAAGTGCACCCAGTGGCTCATTCAAAGTGATCATCAATCTGATTATTCATTTCCTCCAAAATTTAGTTTTAATAAATAAATACAAAATGATCTATAGAAAAGGACTATTTTGTCATGCAAGTTTCCTTACAGGAATGTCATCTAGAGATATAGGTTTCTATTGGCCAAACTTCCCTCTCAGAGGAGGGTGAGGATCTAGAAATAATTCCAATATGCAGGATCTAAACTCTCATCCCAAATACACAAGAGACACTTTCCCTGAAAACGTTCTAGTGTGCAGCCTGCAGTTGGAACAGATTGCTTTTTTAGTGGCATTACTTCCTGATTCAGAAATATAAACGCTGCTTCGGAGACTTATTTTACAATTCATCTTCCGATTTGTCATGGCTGAGAAGGTCAGCTTCCAGATCTTCTATTCTAAATTACTTTTGAATACATTTTGCAAATAGACTAAGGAATGACTCGGGCCTGGACCGGATCAAACTTTGGAAGTTGGGACTCAAGTCCTCCCTCTCTTTTGTTAAAAGGTAAACAATCAGAAACGCCACCATTTCCCAAATCAATTATTCGTGAAAGAATAAACAGGTGTTTTGGAGACACTGGAGTTATAAAAAGAAAATGGCAAATGGTTTTTTCATGGGCCAGCTGCTCAACTGATATGATTCTGGGGAAGGGTCTTCTAGGCTCTAAAACTCAATTAGCAAATCAATTCAAATCATCCCTCGGTCTGCCAGCGGGACTATGCTGCCCCCTCCTCATTTCAGGGCTTTCTGCTGTGTCCCCGTTGCCAAAACCAAAGTTCAATCAGGTCCACCTGAGGTTCCTCTGCTTTCCGCGAACACTGGACAATCAGGAGGGGAGTGGGTGCCTTTCCGGTTTAATTAAGGATTAGCAACCACCAGAAGGAGCAGTGTTCACGGTTCTGCCCCACTTATTTATCTCTGTCCCAGTCCCAGATCGCCTTAGGAGCTGGGCTCAGCACAGACTCAGTGGGGGCTGACTGGCGTGGCTGGCTGTCACTTTCCTTCAGTGGAAAACAGATAGGACCAGGCAAAGCAGATGGTTTCTAAAGGGGCACATCCAAAAAAATCTGCTAGCGAACTGTGGTGTTGTCTTTCAAATAAACAGCAACTTACTGGAGAGGAAAATCAGATCTTCCTCGCCACATCCTGCCACGACCCATCCAGCGTGAAGGCTCACCCAGGTAGGGGTTTTAATCCTTGGCGAGGCATAATCATTTTTTCTTTCGGGCAAAAGACAGCCTGTCTTTCTAAGCCTCCCAGAGATAGCTATCATCACCGATAATGCTCCCATCTCTGTCAGTTAAATCTGTTATCTAGGTAAGACCATCTTCAAGAGACAGTTGACTTGCAGATCACACATCCGCACCCAGTCCTAAGAGAAGCAAATACAAATAGCATGTATTTGGCCAGCTGAGTGCGATCGAGATGGAGCCAGTAACGCCTCAAATGGCAATTGAAAACAAGTCACTATTTTCATCATAAAACATTAAAGGAGTTTTTACTTTTACATTCCAAAACAAATTCACAGATAATTATTTGTGGAAGTCCTGGCTCTGACTGTAGGAATTTGGGCAAAAGATTGAATCTTTCTGGGCCTCGGTTTCCTCATCTGTAAAACGAGGGGTTTGAACTGCAAGGTTTCTAAGCTTCCTTTTAGCACGAAAATTCTAGACTTTTTAGAATTTTTAGAATTTTTTTCCAACATTTTGGCAAATCGCATATATAATTAATCAACCGATTTTTCAGCACAGATTAGAAACGGACTATTTCCGTCACACGGGCAGCTTACCTTTTCAACCGCGGTGTGTTCTTCGCTTGTGACGCTTGTTTTCCTTGATTCGTTTTTAGACCTGCTTAATCTTCTGGATACTTTTTCTCTGAGTAGAGTGGCATATCCGATGTGTTCATAAATGGGGTTCGTTGTCATTTTGGAAATGTATTCGGAGGCTTTCGTTTCTATGTACAGTGTGATCAAGCCATCCGTGACCAGATCATGAATCGATTCGAACCTCTTCTCGCCCACAAAGTGTTTTCCATCATAGAAGAGCCTGTAGTTTAGGGTCTGGTTTCCAAACCTGCCACGAGAGAATGAGACATCGCAACCCTGTTAGATATAAGACCGGTGAAAAACAGTAGCGGCCGACGTTTTTTTTTTTTTTTCGAGAACGTACTGTATGCCAAGCACTGGGCTAAGCACTGGACATGGTTTCCCCCCCATTTAGTCATCAGAGAGACCCTTTGAGACAGGTACAATTATTATCCCTGTTTTACGGTTGACCAAACTGAGACTTGAAGAGACAGGGCACCTGCACGTGGCTACATTTCCGGAAACAGGCGGAAGTAGGATTTAACTCCAGCCTGTCACATGGTATCAATGGATCCTAGAAATCACTAAGGCCATTAGGTCCTTATCATTCTCATTTGCAAAAGTTAGATGGCAGGAACTGATTTACAAATATATCTTACTTATAAACTTCCTGTACCGCGCTATTACCTCTGCAAGGAAAGCTACCACCACTGGCTGTGACGTTCCCTCTTATTACAGCTTTGTCTACCACCAGCAGAGCGCTCGCGCCTCCCACCCCAGTTAGTCCAACTAAAGGGAAATGAGGGGAGCCATGCGAAGCTTCCTGTTTGAGCTGCCGTGCCAGAATTCCGACGATCTAATTTACAGCATCCTCTCGCTTTAGTTCTTGGCCTTGGTCCTATATCTTACAGCTCCTGCTTGGTTCCCCACTGAGATCGCCAGCTTCTGCCTTTGGGATGCTGGGAAGACAGGCAAATACTGTGCATCTGTAGAGCATTTGTTAGCTTTTGAAGTACTTCCTCACTGTGACATTATGTAAGACATCTTCTAGCCAGCCCCTAGTTGCAATTTCAAAAGAATCTTTCCACAGACACAGAATTGAGAAGGTGCATTAAACACACCTTTGTGGGCTGGGCTGGGAAGTGTTTCCATTGAGACCATTTCTTCTTTGGAGACAGGTCTTCCCAATTTCAGAAAGTTCGAAAAATGAATTTTTGGAAGACAATCTGATTCTAAAATTGGATACCTTCCCCCAAACTCACAGGATTGTTGTGAGGATCAAATGATATAAAATAGTTGATCAAGGTTAGAAAAATGCAGTGAATGCAATGGCTTTCCGTTGCTGTGAAGGAACTCTGCTCCAATGGCTCACTGGCATGGAGTGTCATGACGGCCACTGGGAGTTCTTTGGGTCAATGTGAACCTTCAGAGAACCTCATGAACAAACACACACAACGTGAGGTGACAAGATTTTTGACCAGGACCACTGGGGACCAACTGAGGCAGAGAGGCCTTTCTCCTCAGCAGGCTCGATGCTTCAGGCAGAAGTCACTGTAGGAGCATTAACTTTCCAGAGAATTCTTCAGTTACTGTGTGTGCATAACCAAAGCTTCCATGTCCATCCTGCTGATACCATCTGTGGTCCAGGAAATGTGTAAGCCCCTAAATATGTTGCTGGTGCTTTGTAAACAAAGTGAAAATAAAAAATAAGTAGGGGGGGATGGGGAGCGATCGTTTAATGGGTTTAGAGTTTCTGTTCGGGATGATGAAAGAGTCCTGGAAATAGATAGTGGAGATGGTTGCCCAACACTGAGAATATACTTAATGCCACTAAATCGTACATTTAAAAATGGTTAAAGCGGTAAACTTTATGTTACATGTATTTTACGGCAGTTAAAAAAATGGGAAACAAAATAAGTAAAGTCACTTGTAAGGCAATCGCAAAAATAAATGAAATCAAACTCACCTTAGAGCTAATGTGTAGCATCCTGGCTGGCGCTGGCTTTCTCTAAGGATGTAGGCACCCTCCACGCCTCCGAGAAGCTGGTCGGCCTGATCCCGAGAGATGATCCCGTGAAACCTGAGGACAGAGGGGACCATCGTTGTTCCAAACAGACCACACACAGAGCGTGGACCACAAAGAGCCGGCTAAAAAGCGGGAAGCTAGGAATCCACAGCGCCCCCCTGGATGAAGAGGGGAGTGACTACTCGCACCTCCAAGATGGATTTGGAGCCACCTCTCAGCACGTAACCAGACAGATGAGCACCCAGGAAGCAAAACAAAATGAACACTCAGGCTCCCTGGCTTTCTGCTATTGTCTTTGCTCGCAAGCTGAATATTAAGGTCGAAACAAAAAGCCTTTTTTTAACCATGGGACATAACAAAAGAGCAAGTACCAATTTAGCTCCCCCCTCAAACACAGAGGGGAGACTACGTCTTATCCTGATTGCAAATGAACGCTTATCGATTAGCAACCTGCTTAGTTCAGGTGTGGGGTGTTGCTAATTTTAGAGGCTCATTCTCTGGAAAGCAGAGCCAGCTAGAATCCACAGTCTTCTATTTCTTTAAAAGTTGAGAGTGATAGCTTATGGATATTTCTGAAAAACGTTCCTTCCTCGAAGGCGGAGGGGGGAAGAGGGAAGTCGGCTAGACAGCAAGTTAGGTCTCCGTGCCACCTCCCTGCAAGCACGCAAAGATTAAGTCAGAGGACAAATGCAGCCAGATACTATTTTTGAAAAAATGCCCATCACAGTCTTTATTTCCTAATTCCCTTCTATCCTTAACAAGGAGATCATACGAGCTGAAGCTTTGGTCCTAGGGGAGCGGGGCCAGAAGAAGCTGTGGCTTTGCGTTTCAAAACTGACTCTCAGAAGTCTAAGGCCGCGACAACTTGGGAGAAAAGAGTTTCCTGACTTCTCCCATTTCTAGAGCCAATGCGTGGAGGTCTCGGAGCTCGGAGGTCTCAAAGTGAGGGTGAATGTGCTATGACATAAGAGTGACCCTCCTGCCCAGAAAGAAACCAGTGTCCCCAGTTCTTTCAGGAGGAAGAGTTGGAGAGATTTCAGTAGAGCCCAGGTCAGTGGATCCACGTGGGCCCCACAGAGCATATATGGGACTGGAACTGGTGGGTCAGTTCATGGGGATCCTGGAGCGGAGCGGAGCGGAGACGTTTGGGGCTTTGAACCTGAATGGGGCCACTGGACCCTGCAAACCTTTTGGGGAAGTCCCCTATGTGGCCTGAACTCTGGCCAGAGAGGGCTGGACAGATGGCCTGGGCAGAGAGCTGATACAGGGCGAGTGGGGTGGCAGGGAGGGGAGAGAGACGAAGGAAGAGAGAGGGAGTCGGGAGGGACATAGGGGGATAGGTGGGGCATCAGGCATCCTAAAGTTTCCCACGCCAAGTCAGAAAGGACAAGGAGGTTTGAGGCTGGGATGTTCAGGCCACACCCCGACCGTAGGCCGGGGCACACAGGGGAGGGCGCAGGGGCCAGATGCTCCTGCCCCACGTCACTCTCGGGGAAGGCAGAATATCCCAAACAGGCAGTTAATCTAAAAGCAGTCAATTTTTAATTAATCATTTTTTTTTCAGTAGTAAGTTTTAACTCCCTTGAATTGACACATTCAAGTGATGGCCAACAGCTGACATAGAGCTTCAAGAACCGAGTTAAATTTAATTGTTCGAAAAAAGAGAATTATGATTTTTTGAACCCAAAGACCCGGTCTATGGCTCATCATCCTCTCTACGCATGGATTTAAAAATATCCATGACATGTATATCTTACGATCTCAACTTTGTGAACAGAAAGCATGCCCCGAGACCGGAAGGAAGAGATAAAAAGTTAACCATGATCTTTCATGGTGGGCTATGGGTGTTTTGCATCTTCAATACTCATATACTTCCTAATTTTCCCAAATTAGAAGGTATTCATTTATTAACTTTTAGGAACAAAAAGAATACCCATGCACAGTGGGAAAATTCAAAATTCAAAAGTTAAAGACACAAAAGAAGTAAAAATGTAACTAGTACAGAAGTAAAAATTCTATTTCCCTCAAGGTAACCATCATCAACAATTTTCTGTGATTCCTATATATTTCCTGAATAGAGCATGTATTACTTTTTGAATGGAACAAAAACTCTTTCATTTTGAAAAAGGAAAGGGAAACGCAGAATCTGAAGTTTTGAAGCAAATTTCCCTCTAATACAATACGTTCCTTTTCTGTGGCTGAGAAAATGGTTCCTGGGTCTCCTCTCACTACTGGGGGTTGGAAGATGAGAATGAGAAAGTTATTCAACAAAATTTTTATGCAAAAAAGGAACTGCCCAATAAATGAAGTTCCTTTTAGGATTCACATATGACAGTGTTCCTTTGGAGAAGTACATGATAGGTTTTCATTTTTGCTTGTTTTATTAATCACTCTTCGAGCGAAATCCAAATGAGCATATCGAATTTAAAAAGGCATACTACAACTAACTAGCTTGGATGTTAGGGACGTGGGGATGGATGAGAGTGGAGGCCACGGTTCCCCGGGCTGGTATCCCAGAGGCGCCGGCTGAACTCCCAACGTCGGAAAGGGAGGTTCAGAAATGCAGCCATGGTCATTAGGAAGTGGCTGGGGACTGGGTTAAAGAAGAGGCTCATTAATCAGGAAGATGAGGCTCTGATGGGTGAGGGAATAGAGGAAGAACGTTTGGGATTGGCTGGGAGGCCTTGAGAGGTGGACTTAAAAGATACTTAGCCTCCTAATGCCTCCGGGTTGGACGTGGGAAGAAAAGGGACTTCGTATCTACACCCACTCAGACTGTCCGGCCTGCCCTGTAAGCTGTTCTCCAGGCTACAACCCTAATGACTGTAAATAACAATGCATGTTCGCTTTGCAGTAGGTTTCCGGGAAAGTAAAGCAAAACAAGACTAAAAATTACGAGGAAAATGGGAAGAAACAACATCAAGGCGATTTAGCTAATATAACCGAGTCAAGTGAGATGATCATTTTGGTTTTATGAGACCGCAGGGACATGGGGATGATTTTCCTGAGTACTGTATTTACTGAAGCACATGAAAGTAAGGAGTTTAGCTACAGTTTATGACCTTTGACACCTACATGTTTATATAGCATTGAAATAGGAAGTCAACTAAAATGCTAACAGGGCCTCGGTTATGGAAAATGCTGCCTTACGTCTCCAATACTTGCTAGGCTCTCCGTGTCTGCTTTTGTGGAGAGACCCGCAGTAGGAGATATTGTCCCTCCCACATTAACAGAAGCCAAGATCTGAGTATTTTAAAGAAAATTCAATACAAAGGGATCTGATTGCATTTATCATTACTATTAAACTCTTACACAATGGACATTTGATGAAAACACTATACTAGAAAATTTAAAATATTTATATATGAATAACATATGAAGTGACTACTTATTATATTATTAAAACAAAGAATAGCATAATACATACTCTCTTCCATAATATTTTGGTCTGTTTTCCACCTATATTAAAAAGAAGAAAAAGTATTAATAATGCATTTGAATTCAAATCAGATAAAAACACTATTTAAATAAACAGAGCTAGAGTCCTGGAAGTAATTTTATTACAATTATTATTCCCCAAATCGGAGATCCATGAAACTACAGAGTTAACAAACACATTCCACTATCTGGGGTAGGAATGATCTAGAATTGCCATATTTCTTTAATCATGAGGCTCATTCCTCACCCAAACCTAATCACCCAATAAAAGAATTTTCAAAGGAAACAAAGTGATGCTTATTTTAATATTAAGAAACTTATAAAGATATTACAAGGCTTCATCCTGAAGGATAGAATATTTTTAGCATGAATAAAACATAAGCATTTATTTCAATCTTCATCTAATTGTTTCATTATGTAGTTACGATAAAAACAAGGAATGTACCTGGATTAAAAAATAACTTTAATTTAGTCTCTTTCCAGATAAAATCAATATTCTAACATTCTTCTTCTTCTTTTTTTTTTTGACATATGGCTAATGAGCTAAAATTTACTTGACACCAGAGGTATAGGATATAGAGGATAATATTTATGACCCGACTAAAAATCCCAAGCATTCCAGAAAGATTTTTCGATCACAACTTCTGCCTTGGGGTTATCCCATCGGATTTTTATCACATATACATAATAATCTACTTTCATAAGAACTTTGTTTCCTCATGTTCATGGTGTTGGGTTGGAGAGACACTAACATAAATCCTCATGTTCAGCTTTTGTTCTTCTACTCCAACTCCAGGGACACTGAAAATATAGTCAGGCCACATTAAGTTATGGATTTTCACTGATGCACTGATAGTATGACAGCAAGTTGGTGTTTATTTACTACAGTAGACTATGAGCCCGCAGCTGTTTTATTTACAGTCATTTCCATCGACAGTCCAATGGGAAGTTTTCTCAGCAGGGCTCACAGGTGGGCACAGTGTTGGGATTTCAAGGTACTGGGCAGTCTCCTGGCCTATGTCCACCCTCCAAAGGATGCAGGGGATCTGAGTGGGCGGTAGGGGCCTGTGGACTAGAGGAAAAGGTTCATTCAGGAGGGGCGAGCCAGGAATCTGAGAACTACATTCACAAGCCTGCCTTGGACAGCCTGGTTGGCATAAAACTAATCATCTAGACACTTCTAAATATGCGCTCACTCTTCTGTGCATTTTACACTTGAAAAGCACTGAACCAAGAGGGGGCATTCATAACTCTTAATCTTCAAGGTTTGAAGCCGGCTCAGTATCATTTACAAAGGAAGCTCTAAAAAATGTCATTAATAGAAGCACGAAGTGTGCAAAAAGGCACCTTGTTATCTGATGTGTACCATTACTCTACATGCTGGAAAGCTTTTTAATATGAGTTGAACATTTTGTCATTTATATCAAAGTTCTTTCTTACTTTTATGATATTATAGATATGTGACTGTAACACCAATGTGCCATAGAAGAAATTTAGTACTAGAAAAGCCAATGGAGGTAGACAATATATAATTAGCAAGACATCTCTCCATTCTTTGAGAGTCAGTATTCCGCATTTTGAAATGACTCTCTATATAGGACTCTCCATCTTTTTGGCTGAGCCCTAACATACGTTTGCAAATCAGGGTATAGCTTCCAAGGCCATTTCCTTCCTCTATGCTAGCTCCCTCCAAGGGAAGAGTAATTCATCAGATTCCCCAAATGGACAGCATGGTGGACAGAGCCTACAACTAATTCCCGACATGCAGGTAACTAGTTAACGAAGGTTGAATTTAATGGACTCTTGACAATTAAATTGAATTTAATTGCTTTCAGTTCATCAATCGATCATAAAAACAGATGGCACACTTACTACGCTCTGTGCTAAGCCCTGTTCATCGTTAGTGAAGTAATGATTTCACAGATATGAGAGGAAAGGTTTAAGGAGCTCAGAAAACACTTGTAAAATCTAACATAGGCCCCCAAATGGGGAAGGCAATATTTATGGTACCAAAAAAGACCCTGCCTAGGGGACGGTTGGATCTAACTGAGGGACAAATTTGCATATGAAAACTACGAGAAAATAAAAAAATGAGCACCGAGTTGTGTGGGACAGGCTACAGGTGGAATACGGCCTTACAATATATCCCAAATACGACGCAAGACATATACTAAAATGTTATTCTTTGTTCCTTTGAAATTCAAACTTAACTAGGCATCCTGTTTTTATTTCTTTTTTTTCCCCCTTAAATCTGGCAGTCTACACAGGGGGAGAAAAAAGGTAAGTAGCAGACAGCCAAGACAGACGCTGCGGTCATCTATCTGAACGCCGACCCCCCGGTCTGGGGCTGTTTCGGTGGTAATCTGATTCAATCTCTCTTCCCTTTGTTGTCTCTGTAGCTCTTAAAAATATATAGCTGTCCTTGTTAATGTTAAAGAGAGAAATAATGGCCGGAATAAAAACCGAACAATGACCCCTTCCTTTTCCTAAACTGTTGCTCACAGGAGTCCAACACAACCTCTAACTCTACACTTCACTAAGCCTTGAACCGGCCAACAGCTTGATTTAATGTAGATGATCCTAGAAAAATCACAGAATGTTCCTATTTTTTCAAGGTGGTTAATATCGGATCCTTAGATCCAGACAAAACACGGTCAAAAGTATCCGTTTCCCAAGTATTACTAATATGCTTTTAAAAAACTATAAAACAGTCTGAGAAGAATTTCTACATAAAATGAAATATTTAGATACCAAGTACGTAACGGCTGAACACTTAATGGAGTAGTTAACAGGAATGTTTGTGTGTAAACAGGAATTTATTTTCCTTCTACATTGAGCGTGTAGTAACAATGAAATAATACTGCCAAAGAGACTCTCTAAATTGGACCTGAGTTGGTAATGTCACCAGGCACCTGGCCTCAATAAATACTGAGGGGCTAAATCCTCAGGAAAAACTGGGGGGACATGTGGATATAATGTGCAATATGCTTAAACACAAGGCCGACAGGAGAACCCTGGGGCATCAGGGATGTCCCCTTCCGTCTTCCAGCAGCCTTGCTACTCAAAGTGTGATCTGGGGATTGGCAGCGTTGGCATTGTCGTGGAGCTTGTCAGAAATGCAGAATCGGTCCTCCGAAGCGGAGTCATGAACGCACGATAGGCGAGAAGCTGCACAGGAGAACGCGTCATAGCAGGTGTTTAACTGGAAGAATGATCTGGGCTAAAACTTTTTGTGAGTCGTTATGACGCATATTCGGATAGTGAGTATTTGGAGAGCAAAGGGTGCCTCGTGCTCATTAAGTGCCTGCGGAATGAGGCAAAGATGATGAACACTGAGCCCCACTGTTAATTTGATTGCTGTGTGACCTTGAGTAGGTTATTAAACTTCTTTGCATCTCATTTTCTTCAATTTTCAATAAAACTGGAGTTATAAAAACGTACTATTTTAATAAGGCTGTTTCGAAGCTTAGATGAGATAATGCATAGGACAAGCGTGAAGCTTGGAACACCGCAGTAATACGTGGGCACTTATTGAGTGGCTACTCTGTGCCAGGAATCTTCCTTAGGTTTTCACATGTTTATCTCATTTGAGCCTCCACGCAACCCTGGGAGGTGAGTGAGTGCTATTATTTTGCAGAGAGCCACTAAATCATTAGCTTGAGGTCACAGAGCTAGTAACCGGCTTCAGCCCCAGCATATTTACCTTTACCGTACTTTCCGGCATCTTTAGAGCAGGTACCAACCGATGCTGATGCCTTCGTTGGCGATCACACAATTCTACACTTGGATTAAATAACAGATTACCCGACTCGTCCTTGATTTTTCTTGGCCAGGACTGAACACCTTAAAATCTCTTTGAATTCTGTCAATGAGTTAACAAATGAGGACTTAGGATGATATTTTAGGTTTCTCGGCTATTTCTCTGTAATTTAGAATTCTACGTATTCCAAGCTACCTGGCTTATTTTCCAAGTTATTCTTCGAATTTGAAGGAAGAATTCTCAGCATTTTGCAAAGCTTGAAAGAAACAGTAGGGTGACAGCTGCAGAGTGAGAGACAGGGACGTAATCCTTAAATGAGTTTGCTTTATAGTCAGATTATCGTTGCCTAGATAAACACGAGTTCTTTTATATTCAGCACAAAGACAGTTAAGGAATACTGTGAGTCCTCTGTAAACAAGGTTTCCAATTATTGAAAAAATAAAGCTTTTATAATCTCTCAGCAGCTGGTATATGTTAAGTTTTTACTTAATAGAAATAATTCAATAACCTAATTTAGCATCCTCTTACACAGGGCAGCTAGAGTGCTGGAGCTTCTGAGATTCAGATCCAATGAGGAAAAAAGGCTTTTGATGGGGGGATTTGTATTGGCGATATTGGGGTGATTTCAACCAGAAAAAAATAAATGTGGATAATTCTCTTCTAATTAGAAATCGAAATTCTGTATTTGAAAGGAGAGATGGAAAATCAAGTACTGAAACTTACATTCTTATAATCAAAGTGCATAGTATAGGATAAAAATTGAGCAAACTTTAAAATTTTTCCCCTCATACCATTAATTTAAGGCTTCTAGAATTCTGATGGGGCACTGAGGAAGTGAAGTCCTTCCGGCCTTGATTAGAATGTATTAGTTTTAAAAAATCTACTGGCCAATCTCTTTGTGATAAACCTTACAAGGTCACCCATGGCTTTGCAAAGTTCTGTAAGTGCACACAAGTCAGGCATTTGAGTGATCGTAAACAGTCTGCTAACTTACGGATGTTCACACTCTGTCAGGTTGGGGTGCTCAGGACAAAGCACTTCCCATTCACTGGTTTGTTTTCCACTGACTTTTTCTTCCACATTTTCCCAGGAACCATATTTTTAAAACAAGTGATAATTTATTAGAACAAATAAAAAGTAAAAGACTTTTCTTAAACCAGTGGTTCTCAACTGGGAGGGGAAGTGTTTTCATTCTCCAGGAGACAGTTAGGCAACGTCCAGAGACAGTTTTGATTGTCATGACTGGGACAGGGTGCCACTT